TTTAGGGTTTAGGGTTCAAGGACCGTCCGTTTCAAGGTTAAAGAAATTTAGGGTTTTGGGTTGGGGGGTTACATAGGCAGATCTAGGGTGATTTGGGGCTGTATTATAGCGATATGTGGGATAAGATTTAGGTTTGAGCGTTTGTGGCTTGGGGCGCACAGCGGTTGGCATAGGGCCATCGAAGGCTTAGGACTTAAGGGTTAACAGGGTTGAGGGCATAGGGGGTCTATGGTGTAACAGGGGTCTAGGCTTTAGGATTTAGAGGGGTGACGGTTTAGGGGGTTTAGGGGTTCGGTTTTGCCTTCCTCAAGGTAATATGGAACTCCAAAGTGTCCCCTTCAATGGTAAGCAGTCTTTGCAGGCGCCCTTTGTGCGGTTCCGTGTATCTTTGGGTGAGCGCACGGCTTCGTCAGAACCTTGTTTACTCTAACTTCAACGCAGACTCTTGTGGTGTATGATATATGGGGAAACTTGTAAAGGCCAAAAGCATTTGGGGTTTGGGGGGTTGAGTCTTCCACAAAATGGGTTTAGGGTTCAGGGTTTTGGCTTTTGGTGCCTTTTTGAGCCTGTCCCGGATTCAGGGTTCATATATTTGTGTAGGATGAGTTCTACAGTCTACAGTAACCCTAAACCCTAAGACCGTATTTGGACCTGCAAGGACCAGCTGGAAGCATACGGATAAGGGTTTAGGGCTTACAGGGTTTAGGCTAAGAGGTGGAAGATCAGCAGATTTGTGCCTCTCCTTAAACGTTACCTCTCAAGTCCTCTCACCCCATGCCCAGAGCCCTAAGCCCTAAATCCTAATCCTTCACTGAACCATGAACCCTCATCCTTAACTTAGCCCTGAACCTCTATTTCGAAGCAACGCGGTGCTCAAAATCTAAACGCTCAAGACACTCTGTTCAAGAGCTCGTAGTTTTTCAGTGCCACAATGACAGGGAGCCCCGAAATTGGGGTTTGGATAGGGTTTAGGGTCTATAGGGTCACAACGTCATGGACACCTCACAATTTGGGGGGTTGGGGTTTAGGGTGGCTCTAGAGTCTAGAAAGTTTCTCTAGGCGAAACTCCTATCCTTCTGAACAGGGGCTATAGATAGCTCCTAAAACAGATAAACTCTGAATCCTCCAGAGGCACGCCAGAATGAGCCACAATCTTCCATTATTCTGCAGAAGTTTTGGATCCCAACGGAGTTTAAGGTTTAGGGTTTTGGGTGTAGGGCTTGAGGTTTAGGGTCTAAGGTTGAGGTTTAGGGTTTGGGATTTGAGGTTTAGGGTCGGCATCCCCATGTCAGTTTTGGACGTGGAAATCTCCGACCCCCGCCCCTTCCTCTCCCAGCGTCCTAAAAAGGAGAACCTACACACCCCAAACCCTTCTCACTCTATTGAAATCCTCTTCACCCTTATGCCCTATAGACCCTATAATACACACTATCCACCCAAAAACCCTGAAACCCCTAAACCCTAGACACCTTAATCCCTTAACCAGGACTTCATGGCTGCGGGACGTTACTCGGAGGAGTCGTACTAAACTCCTTCTTGCAGAGGGCGCACTATGCGCTCAGGTTCCAAATAAAGGACTGTTTCAAAGAAGTCTTGGCCTGGGATCTGTTTTTGAAACCCAGCGCCTGTTCCAAAAAGTCTTCTGCTGCAATTCGTTCTACGCAACCTGCCGCCAACCCAGCAAGCACCGCAATGTTGTGCCTGCGCTCGCGGATGCTCAGCTGACCCTAAAGAGCACGTGCATCCACCTACTGAAGCAAATTGCCCCAAGCAGACATCAAACATGAAATCTGCAAAACAAAAATTCTACATCACAAGATGACTAGATCGTCCGTGGCTCAAATTCAAGAGCCAATCCTCGCACAGCGTCATGTGGGGTACGTGCAGGGTCATGCGAGCAGTGGTTTTGAAGCCGCGCACGTCCGCTGGCATCCACCGAAACAGGGGGCAGTTTTTGCTAATTCGAGACCGTGCAGAAGGGCTGTAATGGCCCTGTAGGTTTCTCTCATCAGGACTTTGCGAGCAGCTTGCTGCAGTAGATAAACACTCAAGGGCATCACTAGCACCAAGCAGAATTCGTTCTCGTGGCTGGTGTGAGCGAAGATAGATGATTTTAACCCCCTAAACCCTAAACCCTAAACCCTAACCCAAAAGGTAGGTTGTATGGAGCATCATCTCAACACAAGCCTAAGGCCTTGACACTGAACCCTGAACCCCAACTGCCGGCCCCATGCCGTGCTCTCCCTTGTCCTTCCACGTGCGACATGTGAGCTATGGTTTGAACTCCCTAAAGGGAGCTAACCTAGGGGACAACTATAGAGGTTATTAAGGGGGATACTAGGAGTTTAAACTATGGCTCATGTGAGTTTCCAAAAGATGGGGCTCCTTTTTGCCAGTCATTGTAGTAACCGTGTGTTCCTATCGAACTGTGCTCCTGCCAAAAATCAAAGGCAAGGCTTGCAAGGAAGTATCGGGGGCCTATGGTTAAGAGTTGAGCGCTTAGGGTACAAGATCAGAAGCCCTACCGAACACACCCCTAAGGTGTTTTTTTAAATCAACTTGCGCGAAGTCCGCCGTCCACTGTGTGGCTAGTACGTGCCGTGCCCTTGATGATGCCGCGGCAAGTGCCCAGACATTGAGATGTTACCCTCAGCCCTAAAAAACCCTAAGTTCCTCAGCCCCTAAATCCCAAATTCTAAAGCCTTACATCCCTAAACCCCAAACCCTATATCTCTAAACCAGAAGCCCACATCCACAGCTAAATAAGTTCAAGGCAATGCAGGCTATAGAGTCGAATGGGGGGTAGGGCTCAGGGTCACGGGGTCTTGGAGGTGTAAGGTTTAGGGCGTAGGGTTTAGGGACTTTAGATAGACCCCCACCCTGCAATCCCTGCAAGTAGTGGTATCGTGGGAAGATACGAGGACCCTCTTATAGTTACTATTGCAGAGTGGGGGGTCCACCTAAGTTTTACTAAATACACATAGGGATCCTTATGATTTCGGTGTATGGGTTCTCGCACATCGTTTTCGTCCTATGGGGGTCAGTGGGACGTAAGTTTAGGGTGGGCCTCTTGTGGTGGCATGCCACCATTCAGGCTGATAAACCCTGCTACTTCAAGGGATGCAATGGCATGGGACTTCGTTCAAACTTCAGCTCATCTCCACCCTTTCTCGACACCAACACAGTAGCCCCTTCATACAAATATCACACACCCTCCCACCCCCTAATAATGAACATTGCCTCATAAGAGACCTCATATACTGGGGGACATATCTAACATTAGGGCTGGCAGGTGTCTTATATTGCTATGACGGCAGCAATGGTCTTGTTGACTCTTTTCTGTTGGGTTGTTGAACCCTTCCTTTACCCACTTGCAGGTCCAGGTCGTCCTTAAGCACCAAAACCTGAAGCCCCTATCTAGAGTATCCGTATGCTTAAAAAAAGGTCAGGATACCAAAATGTCAGGCTGGAAACGCTGGATTGCAAATCCTTTTTTAGAGGTCTAGTCTGGGTAGACCCTCTACCCTACGCGTGCTGAGACAAAGCGCGTGACCTTGCCTCCTAAAACCCCTTGGGTTTAGGGTTTCGGTTGTAGGCAAAATGTCTTAAACCCTATACCCATGAATCCCAAATCCCCTGCCCTGAGCCCATACCTGGACCTCAAAAGCACAGAAAATCATGGTCCGAGTCCCCCCAAAAACGAGAGGCGAAGACCTTGCTTCTACATACTTATGTGATCAAAGTAAACCCTAAGGGTCCAAGGACCCAAATAACAGGGTTTTCTATAGTATAAATAGTATTTGGGCCCTAAAACCCTATTATTTGGGTCCTTAGTCTTAGACCCATAGGGAAATGAACTACGATCTAAACTCCTTAAAGGGGGATAATATAGGGGAATAATATTGAGGTTGTTAAGGGGGACACTAGGCATTTAGACAATAGCTCAAATCCTAAGCCCCTAGCTTTTACAACCCAAAAGTCCGCAATCTTCAGCCCTACCTGCGCATCCAACGCACATAAAAAAAGGTGTACTTGACATGTTGGCATCGTTACCCTTTTTTCTAACTTTGCGGCTGGTCTAGCTAAGCCCATAAAAGACGAAATCGCTAGCACTGAACTCAGAAGCCCTGTTTGTCACTCTAATTACCTGGAGTTTAGCAGTAATTACCCCATAATCAGTAGGTAGAAGCCTAAAACTCTAAAGCCTAAACTACGCGTCATCTCCCCTTCGTTTCGGGCATGCGGCGGCGTCGTTACATCCTTGGATCGGTCTCCACGGAGGTTGCAGATGCTTGCGGGGTAATGCTGGCTGCTAAGTGATATGATGCGTAAGTCATGTGTTAAAAACGGGTTTCCCAAAATTAGGGGTACCATTTGGGGGTCCCAATAATAAGGACTATAGTATTTTGGGGTCTATATTGGGGTCCTTTTATTTTGGGAAACTACCAAATAAGGAGTATAGGGAGGTGTGGGAGTATATATCAGTCTGATTCTGGAAGAAGATGGCAGCGGACATAAACATACTGGCAGAAATCAAGCAGTGAGAGAAAGATTAGGGACTTGCCTGTACGATTGAAGGGTGGTTCGAAATTTGTGTTTCTGTCATGTTCTTGTTGGGAAAAGTACATACCTCAGGCTCGCATCCGGGATTTCAAGAACCACAGGCGCATGTGCAATGATATGGCTGATGTGTTTTGATGTGCTATGACTGGCAGTACACGCCCCTCATAGGGTTTTGGGCTTGGGGTTTAAGCAGATAGGGTTTAG